GTGTTATGTTGATTAAGCAATAATCTGATATATTCCTTTCAGAAAGTAATACTCATGATGCATATATACCTTCAGCAATTGCACATTTGTTTGTTCGATTTTTGGTGTGGTTCTACACATTTGCATGCATTTTGCATTACTTTCAGTTTCACAATTGCAATTCATACTCATACAATTTCCTGTGCAGTAAAATGTGATTATTGAAATTTTGAACAAATTTGGTACATCCACCTCATTATAAATAGTCCTCAAGAACTACTCATTGTTTTTTCATGTACTTGCTCTATTTTTTGTTTTCTTTGTTCATGTAAAGCACCTGAGTATGCATGGATATGAGAACAACTACTAGCTCATGGACATCATCTCAGGGCGAGAATAATTGAGAAAAAAAAACTTTCCACTTTTGTCAGCTTAGTAATAATATAAGCCACTCATACATCTGTCACTTCACCATTCTTCCACAGGATACATTAGAATGTTCCCTGGTTTTCATAGTGAAAGAATTATGTATTTATATGGATCTGATACAATTTCAAGAGTAGAGATATACTTAAATAGCCATCACATTTTAGTGTAATGATGAGGTGCACATCAATGTGAGGTAAACATAGTGTCAATCCCAGGTTCATATGGTGATATAGTATGTACCACGATTAATGTGCCTGAAAAACAGAACAGAGAACAAGCCTCTAGATTAAACCTAGAGGACAGGAAGTGGTGGGACACACCTGTAATCCTATCACTGGGGAAGCAGAGATCTCTTGGTATCTCAGCGCCTCAAAGCTACCCTGAACTACATGGGATTGACTCAGTCTAGGAGAGAAACAAAGACAGGCATTGTTGAAATACACTTTTAATTCTAATACTCAGTAGTCATTTGCCTTTAACTCCTGTACTAGAGATCTCACACCTTTAATCCCAGTATTTGGGAAGCACTTATGCCATTAATTCCAGCACTAGGAAAGAAGTCATGGCTGGGCAGACAAAGGTGTATACAACCTGAAGAGACAGGACCTAGAGGCTATTCACCTGGATAGCTTTGGCTAGGGAATAAGAAACATGCCTTCAAGAGATTCATGGAGTTGGCAAAGTTAGACATGGCAGTGGCTTATTACTTTGTATCTCCTATCTATCAGAATTTACCATAATATCAGCTTCTGTTTTTTTTAATTAAAAGTCCATTTACTATTTTTACAACAATTATGGAATTTGCTGAAAACATTAAGCAAACGACTAAAACACTCAGGTATTTTATTGCAACTGTCCACTCACTATGTGTTATGTCCTAGAATTGGATAGGAATGCAAAATGTGATATTTTCAATTGTATATTCTAATAATATTTCCAAGGTCTTCATAATTCAGAGCAGTTAGCTTCCTGTTATGTCCATCTACATTGTGATGTAGCCTATAAACATATACAAATAAAGTAACTTGAGGGATATTCCTCAGAGAACACACACAATTTGTGATTATGAAACCCATAACTCTATAAATTTCCTATCTCTGATGATATCCCTTGTCTCCCAAAACTTCTAAACTTGGTTGTTTGACTCCTGGATGAAAACTTTAGAATCAACACAACTCCTCCACTTTTCATTTGTAATGTGCCATACATGGTAAAAGAGCTACACTGAGGAATGTTCTGCACTTCAAAATACTGGCATACTGAAAAGTTATATTCTCTCTCCTCCTCCTTCTCATCCTCCTCCTCCTCCTGCTCATCCGTCTTCTTCTTCCCCTCTTCCTCCTCCTCCTCAGTCTTCTTCGTCTTTGTCGTCTGTCTTTCTTCTTCTTCTTCTTCTTCTTCTTCTTCTTCTTCTTCTTCTTCTTCTTCTTCTTCTTCTTCTTCTTCTTCTTCTTCTTCTTCT